AGCACTGACAAAATTCAAAATTATTTAAGAAAATTATTAGTTATATTGACGAAATTATTATTTATATCGAGTAAATTTAATTCCTCAAATTAATGACGCCCTATGTTTAGCATGTCGGCCGCTGTGGTGTAGTGGTAAGTAGTGCGCGCTTCTATTCCGCAGCGCCTGCGTTCAAGCCCTGGTACAAAGCAACATGGGGAAAAAAATATATATAAAAAAAAAATATATATATATAAGGTTTTTTCTTAAAAGCGGTCGTCCCTCGGCAGGCAATGGCAAGCCTCCGAGTGTATTTCAGCCATGAAAAACAGCTTCTCATAAAAATACAATCGCCGTTCGGAGTCGGCGTAAAACTGTAGGTCCCTCCGCTTTGTGTGACAACATCAAGGCGCACGCCACAAATTGGAGGAGAAGCTCGGCCAAACACTAACAGATGTGTTGACAATAAAATTAATTTTAATAATAATAATAATAATTTTAATATAAAATTTCCCCCTTTTTTCTATGGAGATACGATTTGTCAAAATTTAGAGTTTTTCGTAATTCTGACTATTCATGTACTCTTCCAAATCGTTATATCTCGGGTTCTTTAAAGCTAAAGAAACGGGCTTAATATTTCTATATATAAGATGGTCAAGATTCTGCTAAATCTAACTTATCTATTAACAGTTGAACTTTTTGAAGTTGATTTGCATTGTACGGCAAGATTTTTTCTTAAGGCGACAAACTCCTAAAAATGGGCGTGGCAATTGTAGGACTAAAGTTTTGCAAAACGCAGATTCTATTGCGGATTTCAGCAGAATATCGCTTCGTTAACAACATTTGTTCCACAACTGGATAGGTATTCTATCGGAATCTGCAATAAAATTTAAATTCTTGCAAAAATTCGATGTTTAACACCTTACTTAATATATCTCAACATAAGTTTTGGAACAAAATTACAAATAATTGTTGATTCTCACAAAATAAACCATCTCGTCATAAAGAAAAATATTTTAAAAATAGTTCCTGAAAAACCCCAATTTTTTTAACCAAGTTTTTTATAGAGCATGAAACAGGGATTACGATGGTATAATTTTAAATCCCTATTTTACTGGTCTTCACTATGCAAATCAACTTCAAAAAGTTCAACTGCTAATAGCTAAGTTATATTTAGGGCAATCTTGACCACCTTATATTTAGAAATGTTAAGGCCGTTTCTTAGCTTTAAAATAACGTTAAGACGAAGTCTCTACGATCAGCAGAACCCAAGATATAACGATTTGAAGAAGTACATGATTAGTCAGAATCACGAAAAAATTCAAGCTTTTACAGATCATTTCTCCGAAGAAAAAATCGAAAAATAATTCCTCGAACACGTGTTAGCTTATTTCATGTGTATAACCCACAAGCGAATCGGAGACATGACATAAGTTTTCTTACGAAATCCGTCCGACTTAAAAAAGGATGGCTCATATGCATGCTATGCCCAATTGCGCCATTATGCAAAAATATGCATTTATAGCAAAGTATGCCAAAATATACTTTATCAAATGTAGCTAGTTTTCTTCGTTGCGAAGTAAAATATTCAAAAATATAAACACTATGAAGGTACGATTTAAGATAAAAAGTATGCATTTCCATATTTTGAATTACCCTACTAATAATCTACGAACAGAGTTCTTCCTGTAAATCCTGGCTAAACGTAGCTCGCGCGTTTGCCTGGCCCTTTCCGATACGTGGGAAGGAGGTACAGAGGACATCAGATGTGATATCTCAGCTGCAATAACAACCTTCCGCTCGCCCTGGGTGTGCTCAAATCTAATTAGGAAATGTCTGACCCCTCTTTCGGTCGTGTCGAGTATTTCGTAATCAGACGGTGGGCGAAAAACAAGACATGTGCTAATGCAATGTCATTCGCGGTAGATCAGCTGGCCATGGAAGGCACTATCGTTTCACTAAGGTAAGAGAGGGTAGAAATGCCAACTCAACGAACGTTGGGTTGAAAACCAGTGTGCTAGTGCAAGGACCTTTTGGTAACCTCACGAACTGTAACTCTCCATTCTTGTGTATGTATTGCCCAGACACTCTCCCAGTGGATTTCATCGGCCAGTCTAAAAATATCACATCTTCTACTTTAACTGGCTAGCTTTTACAAGGCTGTGTTCTAAACCGCTCGAATTGACATGAAAACCGACGCGACGGAACCTTCCGGTACAGAAATCTGTTGGCTGAAAAACTTTGTTTTTCGCTATAACTTAGCTGTTACCGTCCATAGTGAAGACAACAAGACTTGTGATTGAAATGGTGCGGAAATCTGGGGAGCTAGTTATTTTAACTGTTGTTGGTGAATATTTCTAGGTCTTCATGCAAAATTGGTAGGACTGGCATTTAAAATGTGTAATCCTAAGTTCAATAGATTTTAAGCTCAGGCGCGCAATAGCCAGCAGAGTACAATGGGTCATCTACTCTATGATAAATGTTTATCTTCAATAAATTTTCCATTCCAATGGTGCATAAAAGACAAGTTCGCATATTTTTTTTTATTATTATTATTATTATATTCTTTGATTTATGCCCTAAACGGTACGGTCGCGTTAAAACTGTTTTGTGCAAATTATTTGGCCTCTACTTAATTAAGCATCATTTGCCCACATAATGTCGTTCATTCAGCACTCCCTTTTTACCACAATCGCGTGTACACAAATCCACCTACAAACTTATCGATGAATCTCGCTATCAGTGTTACAGCTTTTTGTATTTTTCATTTACATTTATTTATCGTAGCTTTTTGTATTGTCTTCTTTTGTATTGCAACTTTTCTGTCTATCCACTTCACACTTTAGCTTTGTATGTGTCAACTAAGTAATCGCAATTCGTAGTGCAACACTTAATGAATAATTCCAGTTGGACTATGCCACCGAAATCAAAAGAGCCGCAGCTCGCTCCAACCCAGGTCGATGGAAGTCAGGGTGGCGACAGTAGCCACCTCATGCCACTCTATTCTAAGAAAAGAAAAAAAAAGCACAGTCACTTTTACTTCATTGTTTTTTTCGACAATTTTTTTCAAGTTAGTTTTAATCGCTGCACCAGCAGTCTGTTGGTTAGGTGCTCAATTGTCATGCTGAACTATTTATCTGTTATGCCATTTGTTTGCGACTAGACAACAAAGTTGCTTTAATTTTGTCAATGTTTTTATTTGCATATACATATGCATGTATGTATGTATGCACTTACATAAGTATGTAAGTACATACACTGAGAAAAAAATCAACCAAAAATTGGGCAATGTTGGCAAATTTAAACTTAAAAAGGAATCAATTTGATTTTGGTTTCATTTTAACAATGCCATTGCCGAACCTGCTGGAAGCTAAATCGTGTTTACGTTCAACTTGAATCAAATTTGGTCCTAAAATTTATGTGAATTTAGGGAGTGCTCACAGCGCTCAAAGTTTTCCATGAATTTTATATGGGGAAAAACCACTTTTCGCACAAATGGTATACATTTCTCGAAAATCAATATTTTTCGATCGAAAAACTGTGGTTCTCTTCGGTAGACTCCCAGTGTTAATACCCAATTGTTTCTTTAACCATTTTTTCATGGTAACTAATTATATATATATTATATTATATTATTATATTTCATAAGTCCTCCTAAACCCCCAGAAATGCAATGGGAGACCAATAAAAAATTTTTAATATTAAAAAATGGTTAAATAAACAATTGGATATTAATATGGGAAGTCTGAAAAAAAAAACAAAGTTTCCCGATCGAAAAATATCGATTTCCTAGAAATGTATACCATTTCCATGAAAAGTTGTTTTTTCCCCATATAAAATACATGGAAAACTTTGATCGCTGTAAGCACCCCCTAAAAATTTTTTGATTTCAAAATATAAAATAGGGGTATATTTTTTTCGGTTCAGAACAATCCTAGGGGCTGGCGGCATTAAAATTCCGGCTGTATTGTTTTTGGACCACTCTAATATGCATACATACATTTAAATACGAAAGTAGCTTGCTGACTAGAATGACTTTTCTATATATAAATACATATACTTTTCACCGCACAAATTCGAGGAAAACTATGTTGCTTTTGGCTCAGTGTTCATACATACATACATATTTACATAAGTATGTATATCTACTTCATAACGTCTTTGCAATTGTGATTTGGTTTTTTATTATTTTAAATTCATTTGTTGTGATATTTTAAATGCACTGCCGTCCATTGCTATGCACTTTTTCCGTCCGCCAAAAAATTGGCATTTTTTCGGTAGTTTTCTCATTGCTGCCGCCATCCTTTGCGCTAACCTCGCTCGCCCCCAACCCGATAAGACAATCATTTGTTGGGGTTGTTGGGTTGCCGTTTGTTGGTGGGTGCCGCGTTTGTTGGTTAGTTGGTCGGCTGGTCTGTAGGTTGATTTTACAACGCTTTTTCCGTCTCATTCCGCAATTGTTTTATTCACGTTATTGCTATTACTATTTGACTATTAGTCATGTCAATGGGTTCGCGTAAAGACCGCCATCCAAAACTACAAAAAAATTTGGTGCATTTTGCTGCTGAAATATTTACACGGGCTGGTCGGTAGTAGCTGCTGCTGCTGTTACACTGCACGTAATGGCCCTAAAATTCAAATAAAAAATGAAAAGAAACTAAATTGGAGCAATCAATTGCTAAGTACTCGTGGTTGTTGTTGCCTAGGCGCGAAAAGGTTACCGCTTGTTGCGCTGACTCGAAGGGAATGGCTTTCGGTATTTTTTCTCATGGTTTTTTATTCAGTTCAGTTTTGTTTTCATTTCGTTTAATTAATTGATAAGCAGTCAAAGCGATAAAAACTCATTTATGTACAGCACAGACCGAAAATTCAATTCACAATCTCCATTAATATGCTTTGTAGCTTGATAATTCAATTTTTAGCATTTAGCAAAAAATTATATTAATCAACTCTTTGTAAAAATAATTACTATATCGTTCTAACTTTTACTTTTTATTGTTTTTTTTTTTTTTAATTTCAAGGCTTCACGCAAGGTTTCGAAATGTGGTTATCTCTTCGTTGCGCCAGATTGGGACTTCAGCAATCCGCTATATAGAACAAAGGTAAGTCTAGTTTCTAATGATGTAATTAACATAAATTCAAATGGCACTGAGAAAAGAGGCAACTAAATATATCGAGCTTTATTCGATTTTGTCGCAAGCGACGAAAGGCAAGTTTCACAGTATAACGTTTTTTTTTTTTAAATTTCTTAGTTAAAATGTGTAGTACTTGATCTGGATCTAAATGAAAAACGATATTACTAACTGCCTTTTTGATAAAATTATTAATTTTCTTCATACCTTAATATTTGAAACACCCTTTTATTCCTTAGTACTATGTACAGTTTTTCTTTTGTTTATTTAATATTAACTATTTTTTTATAAACATGTAGCATATTCTACGTGTAAATCCGATTTTAAAGTTTAATACAAATTTAAAAAAACGTGGCAACAAAGGTGTGTGCTATCCTAATAGTTAATAATACTTTGAGAAACTTTTCGGCCCCCAAGATTTGATAAGTATTACCAAATAATGGAACTACATATAACAAAATTATGTGTTGAGAGCAGCGTTGCCACTAACAATTTTTTTCCCCTACCGATTTTCCTCCTAAATCCGACCAAAATCGTTTACAACCTACCAAATAAATTTCAATTATAAAATAGCATTCTGAAAGCATACAATTCATTTATTTAAGATTAAATATTTCGAATAAAACTTTAACATAAGAGGTAAAATTGGTAAATCTTCTTTAGAAACTACCTAAGCTGGTGTTATTATTTGTAAAAGTTTTATATCTTTACGCTTGAAATCAAATCTAAAATTTGTTTGGTCCAAAAACTCTAAGTAAAACATGAATATATTGGTTTTGATTACTTTCATTTTCAAACTCAATATTAACATTGTTACTGATCGCATCTTTTTTAATAAAGTTACTCAAAATTAAGAGATAATGTGCTTTGATAGTTGCTTATAAGTATGGCAAACGAGAGCTTTCAGCTTAGAACTCTTTTTTAAGATTGTTAATTATGGGCAAAATATACGATAGAAATGAAAAATAGCATTTGGTTTTGCAACACATTCCTTCGGCCAGGTCTGCAGTTCAAATACCGTTTACTTCGTAAAAGCAGGAAATAAAATAAAGCTTCAAACTATCCCATTGCTCAACCATTCTTAACACAACGCTTTCTAGTGAAAGCCATCATGTTTGAGATATGCCCAAGATTTTGGGGGGTTTTACTCCTGAAATTCCTTCAGTTCATTTATCGCCCTTGGACTGTGGGAAAAGAAACTATATATGTTGCGGCACAGTGGCTCAATGCTTTTCGGCAATTTTTTTACAAGCGTAGCTTGAGCAAAGGTGAAGTGAGTGGCATGTGCACTTTATATGAAATAAATCGGTTTCTGCACTCAATAATGTTTTCAGCCCGCCCAAGTCTCCAGCCATAACATCGGCTCCATCAGTGGCCAAACCAATTAGGTTTCTTATTTTTAAAGGCAGGATTGGCAGATGTTTAAAATGTACAATTGGCAAATATTTATATGCAAAATGATGTTTGAAATATATATTTTTATAGTTAAGAATTTAAAAACTTAATTCAACTATCCGACCAAAATCTTCTTTGCCTACCAACCTACCAAATGAAAAAGAAGCGACAAAATTTAGTTGGAAAACACCAATAATGAAAGAAACATATTTATTTGACTTAACAAACCCCTTTTCTCAGTGGAAGCAAGTCCTTTCATTTTGTTGCTAGGTGTATGTGCTTCTCCATCCGGCATCTGGTTGGGATGGTCAGTGGCTATTTAAGAAAATTGCTAAAATTAATAAAATCATGTAATGTGGGCGTCAAAATAAAGAGGTTTAAGAAGGCTTACAGGTGGAAATATTTTTGTGGAAGGTTGCCAACTGTTTGAAATTTTAATTTAATTTAATTGATGAGATAAAATTAATATTGCAATATGGATATCAAGCTGAAGATGTTTAGGAATGTTTACTTCTGAAAATACTTTTTAGGAGGGTTACCACCTGTTTGAAAATGGCTGTTTAAGTAAATTTATAAGGTAAAGAAAATAATGCAGTATGGGTGTCAAAGGAAAGAGGTTTAAGAAGGCTTACAGGCAAAAATATTTTTGTGGAAGGTTAACACCTGTTTGAAATTTTTAATTTAACTTAATTTAATGTTACTTTTGCTATATTATTCTGTACTTTATTTAATTTGATTTTAGTTGTGGTTATTTTTGTAATTTTTCTGGATTATTTTTACACTGAAAAGCCCTCGCGTTTTACTGTACTTAAAAAGTTATTAATAAATAAATGAAATACATAAATAAGTTAAATTGTGCAATATGAGTACAAAATAAAGGGGTTCGAAAATTTTACTGCCGAATATACTTTGAGAGGGCGCTGCCACCTGTTTTAAAAATTGTATTCATTTAAATTGATAAAATAAATTAAATATTACAATACTGGTAATAAACTAAAGAGGCTTAAGAAAGTTTACTGCCGAAAAATTTTTTGAAGCGGGTTGCCACCTACATATACATATATGTATGTAAAAATTTAATTCAGTTAAATTGATAAGAAAAGGTAAATATTGAATTAATACACATTTATAGAAAATGCCCGATATGTAGACTCGAGTTTTAAATTATAAATTAAATTTCCAGGAGAAAACCGATAAAATACCTTCTGACATAAAAAATTCTTGATAAATCGAAAATTGGTTTGAAAATATCACTTCATAAAGCTCTTTAATTTTTGTTGCACTAAATGCAACACCGAGTTGTCGCACTTACTTCACTATGAATTGTCGCACTTAGTGCACTATGAATTGTAACACTGACAATACACAATTGAATAAATTATTCCTGCTATCATCCTAACAATTTTATTTTATTTTTCATGAATGAGACCATAAGAGTTTTGGGTGGGAGGAACAACACAAAAATACTTTTAAGCCGCAGTGAAGCTCGGCGGCTATTTGCTAGTTCTTAAATAATATAATGGGCTTTGCCAATGCTTGCTTATATGAAGCTGACTCCATTGTTATTTATTATGAGTGGTACATCAATTTTAAAAACCATGTATTTACATAAAGTAGATTTTGTTAAAAATTTCTCTTGAATAAGCACATTGCCATCGACAAAATAGATATGTACATATTTACAAATATTCATTAGTTTTAATTCAGGTTGAGTACAATAAACTAATAATAGTTGCTTTCGCGTAGCTGTTAGTTGTTCAAAGTTAACCAAAACTTTCAGGTTTTTGCGTTCGCGTACGCAAAAAACTTGCAAAGTAGGGGAAATTGAGAGAGCAAAGTTACATTTCATTTTGAGGGGAAGCTTTTAGTTTCTGCTGGAAAAATTTTTGCCAACAGGAAAACAGCTGATCAAAAATAGCTGGTAGGAATTTACGCAAATCACAAAATTTAATTTGATTGTTTGGAAGTTAAAATGATAATTAAACTTGTAAGACTAATTGAACTTGTAAGAACTAAGTGGTTATTCGTTTAATCAATAAACTGTGTCAGGAAAACTTTTGTGATGAGTTTACGTACGTCTTAAATTTTTCAATTTTGAATCTAAACAAAACTTTATCAGCTGTTCGTATAACTTGCAAGTGTCTGCAAATTTTCTGTTCGCGTACTATTTTGGATATACATATTTGTCTTGTCATTTTTACGTACGTCTTAAATTTTTCAATTTTGAATCTAAACAAAAATTTATCAGCTGTTCGTATAACTTGCAAGTGTCTGCAAATTTTCTGTTCGCGTACTATTTTGGATTTACATATTTGTCTTGTTGAAGAACAGATGACATTTCGCCGGAATTTTGCTGTTGGATGTTTTTACTGGAGATTTTAAGCGAACGCACCTAATTATACACGAAGAAATACTTACATATATGTAACAATGTAATTTTGAATACTTACTAAGTATTTGCGCCAATACAATAAATACAGCTAAACAACTCTGCCACACCTTGTAATCACATTTCTGCAGCCACCGCTAATATTTTCAGCTCCCACACGTCTGTTGCGCCTTAATGAAAAATGTGCATAAACAATTTCAATAAACATTATACACAAAAGTAGGAAAGTAAAACGGCAAATAAAAATTTATTTTAATGAGATGCTGTGCGCGAGGAATGTAGACACCTTAAGGCTAATGCTAAAGGCTGTTTAGAAAATTATGAATGAAATGGAACAAGCGCTTAAGCTCGCTTAAGCTGTAATTTTAAACTTTTATCACATTTATATATGAAGATAAACTACATGCAATCGTTCTGTTATTATTACACGTATACCTTTGTACATATTTAGTAATGCTTGTCAACATAGTTGCCAACATAGTGCTTTAAGCACTAGATTTAGTGCTTTTTGAAAATTAAAACGCCAAACAAAATGGTTTAGTGCCTAGTGCCCTTTTTAGTGCTTTTTTTTTAACTAAAACTTCTGAATTTACAAGAATCTACAAATTTAAATGCACTAAAATGCAAACCATGATTGATAAAAAGATGAAGTTGCAAACCCACGTTCTTGCGTTCTTGTAAAATTGTATTCGCGTTGAAAATGCTAGCACGCAGATAAGTTAAGTATTTATTTCTTTATTTTCTTGATTATTGATTGATTACACAGTTGGAAAAATTTTATCTCTTTTTGCCACCTGAGTGCATCGGTTTTTGTAGATTTTTCGGTGCTGAATCCAAAACTGGCTGCAGAATTTCTCTTCCATGTCAGAATTTTGAGATATCCTAAGCTCTAAGTGTAAAAACACGGTTTTTCGCAATATTTGGAGTTATATTATAAAACAACAAATTTTTTCGCTCATTTCTACTTAGGGTATCATTAAGTATTACTCCTCCCCTTTAAAATTTAATTTCGTTTGTTGCGATTCGATTGTTTTTTCTCCAGATGTACCAGTTTTAATGTGCAGTACTTCGGTATTACTTCGTAAGCATGAGTGGGTATTTATCAGACAACAGCATGAGTTTACTCACTTCCATCTAAACAGTATTAACTCATTGCGGTGAACTCTATAAGGTTAGTGAGAAACAC